ACCAGTATATTTCTCTCCTGGTTTGTTTGTCATGAATGTGAGTTTGTACTCAGCTGAGTCGCTCTCTCTCACGTCTGGGATGGTCAGATAACAACTATCACTATTACATCTGTACTCCACACGGTCTGAATACTCAGAGTCTATTCTCAGATCCACAGGTTCACCATCTTTCTCTTTAGTGAACCAGAATCTGTCCTTTATATCAGAGGGACCTATTCCAGGTGGGTGTGTGTAGGTACAGGTTATATACACTCTTGATCCTTTTGCAGCACAGACGTCAGTCTGATGGTAATCCACTCTCCATCCATCCTGACTCTGTATCACTGTAACACAGCACATCAGGAACCACAGTCACACTCAGAACAACATCACAGGACACACTCTCATTGGTAGTTTACTGAAGAGAAAAGATATGATGAGAAATATGAAAATCATTGAGTTTATAGAAAGTAATGAAAGAGTCCACGATGTCCACATGGACTCTGCAGCTGGAAGGAACAGCGACGTATTGAACCTGTGGACCTGAAAAAGCTCAAGTTGAAGTATTAGAAGGGTTTGGTTGATGAGAAGAAGAGTGTCTTTGCTCTGTGCTCTTCTGTCTGTGGTCAGTCTGCTGCAGAGTGGAGATGGAAACTGTAGAGAAATGCAGAACTCTGAGGGGAACGATACTGTGACATATAGATTAGTAGAATATGAACGGCACCTTTGGGGGGAAAGTGTGAAAATACACGTGTGTCTGTTCAGGCAATTTGGCCGCCATTTTGTCTGAAATTGAATATATTGTGTGTGTGTTTGTGTGTGAGGGCACATCTTACTATTTTACACACACACGCCTAAAAAACAAGGAAATTACCATGTTTGGTCAATTTTTGACAAAATGGCGACACGGAAACGCACATTTTCACACCTCCCCCCTAACGTGACATTTATGTGCTGATTAGATCACACGTCACTGATAAGAAGTGTTTTAAGACTCGACTGGCTTTCAAAAGTCAACAAAAAATAAGAAATAGAATAAACCAAAACAATATCTATTCGTCTAAAACCACAGAATGTGACTTTTCAGCATCCGGCAGTGAATCAATTATCTGTGACACGGATCAAAGCTGCAAAATGTCCCTCAAAGAGACACTGAACAACCAGGAAGAGAATAAAAATGACCAGAAATACACAATAAAATGCTCCAAAAAGAAGAACAAACGTCGTCAGAGACTCGGAGTGAATAACAGCCTCTAAATGTGGTCTAATGCAAAGAAACGCTGCTGAACAATTAGAGGAAGTTCAACAGAGACAAATTATTCAGAGCATTTCTTCTTTGTTAATGTTCATTTAGTCATTATTTGTGTGTGATGACATCAGACCTGTGTGTGAAGTAAAAACACAGCTCCCTGTGTGTGTGTGAGGTGTGTAACGGCCTCACAATATAAATGTAGAAGTACAGTACCTTGTACAGAGAGAAGGAAGACGACTAATCCACCGGCTGATGGACTCATAGCTGCTCCTCTGTGTTCAATCAGCAGATCAGAAACTCTTTATTCAGTAAGTCACCAGAAACACGTCTACATTAAAGAGGAGGCTGATGTCTCTGAGGTCAGCTCGTCTCTTCTGGAGTTGGTAAGTCATGAGAGTTATCAAGTTCATCACCAGAGAGGCTTCCTTCCTGTGGTTGGACGATAAGAAGTGATGATGATGTTTAAAAAGCTCAAATGTATTTTTCATCATTATTTCTCTTATTGTTCATGTCTGTGCTTCATGTATAAAACGTTAATAAATAATTAACTATATGGTTTAAATCCACGTAGACGTGAACACGTTGATTCTGCGTCTCCCTGAACTCTGCGTTCACAGAAGACAACAATGCGTGTAAAATAAATATCAGAGCAAAGAGCAACGGGGTGCGTGTAGTCAACTACTGGTGCTGCCACATTCCGCCGGACCAGGATAAGTCATTTATATTAATTAATGAACTTTCTCCTTTTCGACGAGGGCGTCACTCCAGGCCGCAGACCCTTGAAAATGACTGTGTCCCCCTGTGGGCCGGACCGTCCGCCCCCCACTCATGATTTTAATGGTCTGGTCCAAACCTATAATGAGTTTGACACCCTTGATTTACACTATGAGGTGTTGTTAACATTTAAGGTCTTCAGAGCGACTTCCATCGCCGTGATCAGTGATTTAAAAACACAGTATAACAACAAGTGTTGTGTTTGCATTGTGTTCTCATGTTGGGTCTCTGAGTGTGAAGCTGGATCTTCTCCTCTGGTTCTGCAGGTCCAGACGCTGGTGCAAGAAGGTCCTCGAGCTGCCGCCACACCAACAGTTCCCGTCGGCAGTCGGGCTCATCAATCCTTGTATGCCTGACATATTTTGGTAATAAATGTTCCTGATTCCAGGTTCCCGACGTAACCCCAAATGTACTTGGCCGAAATGAATGAAGTAAACTACAAGTAGAGGGAAGGTTTGATTGCTTTGGACTGTACGTGTGCAGCTGATGGAAACAGTTTGTTCAGAAGACCACTTGATGAAATCCACCTGTAACGTCTCTAGTAGAGCATGAAACCAAGAGAGTCAACATGAGGACTTCAAACCTTCTTCAAGGTTGCTGCTTTTTATTAATTAATTAGATTTTAATGGTGGTTTAATTATTTTGCACACATGATTTGATATCAGTTCAGTCCAGCGTAGTGAGTGGCTTGCTTTTGCTTTGCAGCATATTTACATTATTGCATGAATAGCATATGAATTCTTTGGTGAGCATGATTTTTCTGTTTAAGCCCCAACCACGTACAGTATATTATTATTATTATAGCGTATATATGTGAATCCAAGGCTTTGGATAAAGGCCTTGCAATGTGAAATGGTTCTCAAGATTCCCCTTGACAGATTCAACATTCCCTTGGCACATAGAAGGGTTTGATGGACAGAATCCTCTGGGTGGGACGTACTGTATATACGTGAAACCTGTGGATTATAAAAGGGCCTTTGGTGGGTTCTGCCTGGTCTCAAACCACCAAGGTTGGCGGTTTGAGCCCCGGCTGCTCCACGTCCCATGTCCAAGTGTTGCTGAGAAACACCCCTAATACCTAATGGCTCCCCGGGCAAAAATGTAAAGAGCCACAGGCTAAAAATGCAATGTAAGTCGCTTTGGATAAAAGTGTCAGCTAAATTGCCTGTAATGTCTCTCAATGAAACCTTCTCAGAGGGGCTGTTGATGGGGTCATTCTGAGTGGAACCTTTTACAGATGTCTCTGGATCCGTTTTTTTTGGTTGGGCTGTGAGGGCCCAGCCGGTGAGCAGTGCCCCACATGGCCAAGAACCGTCAACCGAAGGCAATCAAGAGGCATGGTGTTGAATGGGCGGTACTACCCCAGAGGATTCGCATAGGGAACTCCTCCCCATCCAGGTGTCTCCGGTTGTCCCTCACAGGTGGATGGAATCAATCGGGCAATCAGGAACCTTTTTTAACCTCAGCTAGAAGACACGGAAGGGAGACTGTCTTGAGCTACTGAGGAGTGAGAACCCAAGGCTTTCCAAACCAGCCCAAGGGTGTCTGTATTGCTGAAGAGGAATAATCGCTGTCTCTCTCAGGAAGAGCCTGACGCCAAGAGCTATATAAAGTATATATATATATATAAAGCTATATAAAGTTATATTGACTGCTACTCCTGTTTCTGACTGCTCTTTTCCAGTCTGTGTACCTTGCCCTTGTAAGGCTCCCATAGGCTTCTAACTGGAACCCTCTGAATGGGTTCCAGATGGAACCTTGGGGGAAAAAAAGCACCTTAAGGGTTCTCCTTTTGAGGATGTGGTTCCATAGCTCCTTTTACTTCTAAGAGTGGTTAGGGTAGAGCCAACGGGGAATGAGTAAGTCAATGAGTGAAGCCATTCATAACCTCAGTCAACGAAGTCCTGACGACGATAAACCCTTGAAGGTGGAGGAATCGGCCTCCGCTGCGTTTACAAGGGGTGAGGCGCCCGTGGGGAGAGAATCAGGGTCCATGTGTTTGTGTAATCCGGTCCAGGTGGTCCTGTCGGCTCCTATTAGAGGAACCCAGCGACTGTGCTGATGTTCCACCGTATCCCTCTGGCAGTGCCTGTCTGATTCCTGTCATCAAACCACACAAGAGTATTTTCAGGGTTGGTTTTTTCCATCTGGGAGTCTCAGATGGGTGGGCATAAAAGGTTAAAATGATTTAGTAAACATGGAAAACTCCTTAATGTCAATCACAAGAGTCCCAGCTTTGATTAAATGATAACTAAATAAATGTAGAGCGGGAAACAAAGTACCAGATGGTTGAGAGGATTGATAACGTCTTGTATCCCGGTTGAGCGACTTGTGCGAGACGGACAATAAAGACCGGTACGTAGCAACAGATGACAGGAAATCCTCACTTTCTATTGCGTCAGGCCCAAAACTCTCTGAATACTACACTTCCCAGAATGCCACACTGGCTAGAACTTCCCTGCAATGTAAATGCTCTGCTTTCAGTCCCTACACCCAATTGTGCTTCATAGGTCTTAAGCAAGGGGGGGAGGCTGTGCAGATCTCCTACAACCAACCTGGTGTTCACCTGTGGAATCCGGTCAGTCTCACCAAATGGCCAATGAATAATGTAAGATATTAGAAATAAACTGACGACCCGGTTCATGACTTAATAAAATGCATTTAGTGTACACCAGAATACAGCCATGATTCTGGAACTGTGTAATCAAAAGTAATATGAATATTGTAAAACCACTGTAATTTTGAAACTAATCAATAGAATAATACCAATGCACAGCTATGATTGTATTTAATGTAATGTAATCAACTGAAATGCATGCATTTAATACTTGATAGCACAACAACTGGTATTGACAGAGAGACATACAAATCAGAGTTCCATTGAACTCACCAGGAGACTCCCAGAGGTCACACCTTTACGGATCGGTATAAATACCTGTAGGCAACCATTGTTCTGGAGTTCGCTGGTGGAGGCAACAGACGGGCACTATGGGGGGTCAAAGGGCCCTGTGGCCTGTTGACTGCAAAGACCAGCAGCTCCTCAGCTGAGATGTTCTTTTTACTACAACACCATCTCTTTTATTAAATACTTGTGATTTTAACTCTTCAACCAAGATGTCTTCTGTCCCTCGGGAGTTTCTTCATTTTGAACACAACCACAATTTGTCATTTATTACGCAATAACGTTTTTCTTTCAAACGCATGTGCGTCAATATGTTCACAGCAGGCAACATACCGTAACAAGTTAAAAACACTCTGATAAGCACCACTCCCACTAACAGGATTGACCAGAGCGGCGTCCATTTCCCAGCGAAGCGTTGCCTTCGCCATCGGGCAGCTAACCGCTCCGTATAAGCCAAAGAGAGTCAGAGGCTCTTTACCGGTTAAAACGAGCAGTGGAGCTAAACGGGTAAATATAACAAGTTAATGCTTCACCCACCCAGTCGTCACAGCGACGGCGAGCAAACCTTCTGTAACCAGTGTAAAAAGCTAGCTGGCTATCTACTGAGCTAGCTGACTCTGCCTTAATGCTACCAGGGTAGAGGTTTGAGTCGTGCTGCTGGGTCCAACCCGCATTCGGGGCGATAATCCAAAACGCAGCTGGCCTCCCAACCATATCTACCAAGATGAAGAACCAGCTTGTGTTTCTCTGCAGCTGCTCACTGGAAGTCACAGCTCTGCTCTCCCATCAGACAGTTGATCTTCCTCCACCACGTCTCCGAGAGGTTCTTCTTGCCCGTATCGGGCGTCTTCATCCTCGGAGCGAGCGTCTGCTGCTGGACGCCGCAGCCGTCCGTCTGCTGGACGCCGGCCAGGACGGCCGAATCAAAGGCGTCCTTCAGGTTCTTCTGGGTCAGCGCCGAGCACTCGGCAAAGCCCACCGCCCCGAGCTCCTGGGCGAGCCGCCGGCCCTCCTCGGTGCCCACCGGCCGCTGCTGGCCGTGGGCCAGGTGAATCAGCACCTGGACGTCCTCCCTCAGGTCCAGCTGGGTGCCGACGAGGACCAGCGGCGCGCCGGGACGGTGCCGACGGACCTCGGGGACCCACCGGCGGAGCAGGTTGTGGAAGGAGCAGGGGCGGACCACGCTGTAGCAGAGGAGGAAGACGTCGGCGTTCTTGTAGCACAGAGGCCGGAGGCGCTCCAGCTCGTCCTTGACGGGGGAGAAGCCAAACCGAGGCGGTTAGCGGTGCAATAACCTGGCTGCACTTACAGGAGGAGGCTTATTCTGAATCAAAAAAAAATAATCAACAGCTCGTCTGTTCGGATGCATTTGAAAGAGGCTGACTTTCTTTTAGATTAGTTGCTTTTCAACAAGCAAACTATGAGAATATGTTGATTTGTTGCGGACTATTTTTAGCGGCGGATTAATCCCTGCCGGGTACCCGGCGGCGAGCCGGTGTGTGTGGGATTAAGTTAAAATAAACTAAAGTGTGTTGCTTGGTAGTAGGTGCATTCACGGTTGGTTTTGGTGTTTCATGTGATCGAATATCATAAACTTTATTATTTACATCAGAATGAATACAGACGAAGAGTTAAGGAGGCGGCAGGTCAATTAAAACGATTTAATTCAACTTGCTTCACAGGTTAATGCAGAATCTGAACTGCTTTTCTTTCTATTTTCTTCAATTTGAAAAGGTTTGATTTGAAAAGTGTCCAAGTGTAACAAGATCAACATAAAGACGCGTTTCATGTACCAATGATTTTAGGATACTAGTTTTAAGCATGTGCACCTCACATTTGGAACATTCGCATTGCGTAACAGAGCTTTTCAACATCGATTCACACAAATTCCCCCTCACGCGGTTTACTATCTCTTTATCCCTTTGGTAGATCTACTTTCACTTCCGCTGGATTACATGCCGCTAGTGGAAATAAATGCAGCTGATTTAACTTGCTGATGTAAAGGACGGACTAGAAATGACTAAAAACAAGTCACTTTATGTTTGAAGGGGCGCTGAATGTTTCTTCGCGGTTGTAGCCGAGCGCTCATGGTGCGCCGGCACTTTGTGGTAATAATAAAAAGATTATACTTATTGTACCGTCATTCAGCTGAAGTATGAGAAACACTCGACCACCAGGGGGCGATGGAGCACAGGAGGGCGCTGTAGAGCCACGGGGGGTCGAACAGCCGCAACATTGTGTCGGTAGTGATGCATGTAGGCTACTTTTTAAATAACCATAACCTGCTCAATTTTCAACCGATTTTTAAACGGTTTAGTTTGTTATAAATGTCAGAGAAGCAGCTGTGACACTGCACGCGTAAGATGAACAATTATGTTATGTTCTAAAAAAATCGAATAATGTTATAAAATAGATAAAATAAATATATATACACATCAAGAAATGCTGCATGTTGAAATCCGCTCCCTGTACACAGACATGTAGTTATGACACTGCATATTTATGGATAATTATAATCATAACCATGGGTTTTCATACGAAAATGATATTAAACAGAACATTATTCATATAGTATGCAGTGCCATAACTACACCTCTGACGTTTATAACCAACCAAACCGTTATTAGTTATTATTATTATTAAAGTACATGTACCAACAACAACACAATGTTGTGGGTGAGCGACCTCACTGTACCAAGATGGCCGCCATGCGCGGGCCCCCGTAAGACATCTAGCCTTTACATATGTGTCTATGGGTAATTTAAACTAAAAGGGTGCGACATGATTTCAAGTCCGCGACAAACACGGCGCGTGCGACACAAACACAGCAAGACCTGTACAACCGCGACCTGTACTACCGTTCCCTGGTGACTCACGTGGATCGACCCGTCACCCAGACCCCATTTCTGTCGGGACAAAGCAGGACGAGAGAGACAGAGGTGCAGCTCGGCGGTTACGTCGTTCGGGTGGACGGTATTAACACCTGCGCGCGCGTCGGGGTGTGTGTTTAGGGTGTTAAGTCCGTGCATCGTTCGCGAGCAGCTCACCCGTCCGGCGGTGTCGCACAGCTGCAGTCTCACTGGTCTGTCGTCCACCAGAACCATCACTGAGAAGAATAAAGAAAGGTCTTCATGTGTGCAGACCTGAACACCATCGACACTGCACGCTTTAAAACGCGGGACAACAACAAAGAAACAAGGCAAAAACCCATAAACGGTCACTTTGATTGGTGCGTAAAACCTCGCGGTCGCGCGTTTACCGGAGAAGTTGTCCAACGCGGTGGGGACATAATGCGCCGGGTACCCGTTGGTGGTGTAGCTGACGACGAGGCTGGTCTTGCCCACGGCTCCGTCTCCGACCAGGACGCAGTTCACCTGGCGCTCCGGCGCGAGGCCCGGGCGGCGGCGCTTCGCGCTCAGGTGGGGGGGGGGCCGGTCCTTCAAGCGCCGAGCCGGCACCGGAGGACCGTCCGCCCCGCGCATCGGCCCCGACACGCGGCGCGGCTTCTGCTGCCCGACCTCCAGGGGAAGCACGGCTCCGCTCACCGGGGGGGACACGGGTTCTCGTGGTTTGGCCCCTCTTTTCTGTGTCAGTCGGCGCGGGATCTCGGCGGAGCGCGGTTTGCGGTCTGTGGCCGCCGCGGTTCGGAGCGCGCGCTGCCGCAGCCGTCGGGCCTCTCCGCTGATTGGCATTCTCCCCTCTTGATTCCTAAGAGGCTTACCGAGCCCGGCGCCATATGAGGCTCCGAGGAAAACCTTTATCCCGTTGAGTACAATATACAGCGCGTCTCCCTCTTAAGGCAATTTAAAGTGGAAATAAAACTCCAACCCCTGAAACCGCGGATGATTTACATATTTTGTGGAGCATCTTTCTGCAACAGGAGCCAAACAATAAACAAATGAGTTGTTTTGGGCTTTTTATTTATTCAACCCCCCCCCCGTGAGGAGGGATTACACGCAGAGCAGCTGTCTACCAACAGTGTTTAACTTGGATTCCATCCACCTGTAAACGATCTCAGGTGGATCTCCTGGGGCCAAAACCCGAGCTGCGATCAAATAAAGATGATTAACGCGCAACTGTTTGCTGCTGTTCTTCTGATGTATCATTCTGTCGCACTGCTGTAGTCTTATAACAGCCGTTCAGCCTGTCTCACCTCCACCTGTCTGTCGACAGGAAGGTGGACTGACGCCCCCTGGTGGTGGGGAGGGAAGCGACACGAACCACCGGTTCTTACACCATGAATAAATGTGTTAACACGCATTGAACTCCGGTGTCTATGAGTGACCCCCCCCTCTCCACATACTTTTTAATTGTGTTTTTTCTGTTAACTTTGACCTTAAGAACCAATAATTGGATATAATAGGCGGGTCTGCTCTGCCCGGGAACATCACGGAAAAAAATTGTGGCCATTTTTGTGTATTTTTTATCCGAAAGATGTGAAAAATGTTGTTTTTCCTCAAATCCTCAGTGGGTTGGCTGTCAATAAATGCATCTCAGATACACATAACTCAAGTGCTGACAACGTTCACTGAAAAAATAACTCTTAGAACACGGACATTTACATGCTTTTGCATCAATTTAATGCAAAAAAAAAGCCACTTCTCACTTTTTAACAATATTTTCATCTTTACTTTATTGGCAATCAACTATTCCCCTACGTTATGACATCAGTCAATGTGCCATTCTTTTCACCAAACAGTAAACTCATTCCACATGAATGAAAATGATAAAAATCTAAACCAAAATCAATGGATCTGTGATGATTGAACTAGTTGGTGATCAACAGGCCCAGAACCTTAATAGAGTTTTAGGCTATTCTAAAAAGAGACATGCTGGATATTTAGCATGGTTGTTCATGTCCATCATTAAACATCATAGGCATCTTTTTGACTCTCATTGAACGCCGTCTGACAAGCCATTTTGTAATGGTACATTCAAAGAGTTTTTATTGTAAGTTACACACGGGCAGTGTATGGAAATTCTTGTGCTTGCCTTCTCGGGAAAGCCGCCCAATTTTAAAATTCAAATTAGAATGCAATATTTACATACATGTACATGAAATAAAAATGAGGCAGAAATGAGGTAAGGAGGAAAAGTCAGCTAAATGACATGTAATGTAATGTAAAAAGTGCAAATTTGAGCCGGTGGTAAAAAAAAAAAACTTAAATGAAATGAAATGTGTGCAGTATAAATGACCAGTAACAGGGAGTGAATCCTACCAAGCTGAAGTGCCGAGCAGTTGTGAGTCGGGTCATAGAGTCCTCTCAGCTGTTTATCAGTCTGGTGGTCCTGCATTTGACTCTTCTGTACCTCCTGCCTGAGGGCAGAAGCGTGAACAGTCCATGTTGGGGGCGGGTGGGGGGGGGGGTCTTTGAGCATGGAGGCAGCTCTCCTGTGAACCCTGGCAGTAGGGAAGTGTGATGTTGCAGCTTCGGGCTCTTTCATCCCTTTTAAACGACGCTTTTA